ACCAGAGTGTTACGTATTATGACCCTAACAAATAGTAATCCGATGACATTGCGTGTTTTTTGGTGGCGTAGATAACCGCAAACGTCACATTTATGCGCTGATCCTTTAAGTGTAAGCAGAACTGTTTAGTTCGATGTAGGTAAAAACATTTCAAAGTAGGAAAGCCAAGCACATCAGCTCCCCCCTAGCCTTTAAGAAAATATTTAAAGAAATTCTCGAATCGGCAGGAGTGGGTTCTGGGGTGAAGGGAAGGGGGGTTTACTTGCACACCATTCCACATTCCCTCTCTGAATACAAAGCAGACAAAAGACAACACCAAGAAAATACGCAATTTAGCGATTTTCTAACTGCAGTCGTGTCTGGTGTGATATTTCAAGTACTTGGAGTAAGCTCTTGAACAGAGGTCAACCATATTCGCATGTCTTCTTCTAGAATGTTCTGCTCAAATTTTGTTTTTAAACCACATTGAAACAATTCTTGGAGCAAACTAGGAGAAAGGTCTAAATTAAGAGTTTTTCACGGATGGAAACACTTTCGAACGAACAATTCAGTTTAAAGTTCACAATCTTCAGCAATAACACATAACTTACAATTTCATCATTCAAATACACAGTTAGCAAAGAGCGTATAAGGTTACTAAATTAGGGAAAATTTTTTTTTTGGACAACGGTGAATTCGAAAAACATCTCAATCGACTGTGGAGTTGTTTTCTGTCAGTTTGTTTCTACGGTGTCCTCGTAGATAACATCAATTCGCAAAACTTCCCCAACATCAAAACATACGCAATGACTAAATCGACAAGAAAGTTCCTGATCCTTTATCAATCTTGAGATAGAAGACTAGTATATGTTTAGTTTTAGTTTCAAAATTAGCAAGTCATGGCCGGCTACAGAAACAACTAAATTACTCTATAACAAAATGTACTTACCAGCGACCCTAATTTCAGCGCTTTGAAGAACAACTAAGGCTGATAAATGCTATCGTTTGTCTTTCGATCTTTTCACTGCCGCTGTGGATCGTGATGGCCGGCCTCGCACGAAGAAGGATTGCAATCAAAACGCCCCGATCTGCACATTGAAGGTAAAAACAAAGCGCAATAAACGATTATACTTTATTCCATATTGTACTGTTGTCCATAAAAAATGGATAATTCTCACACCAAAAATTCTGCTGCTTTAACGAAATGATATTGGGGTTAATCTGCTTTTTGCTTTTTCCAGCATTATTTTCTAACAAAACAAAGCAGTTCTTTCGTTCATTTGACACACGCAGCACATCAGATGGTCAAATCATTAAGTGCATCAAATAACGTCACTTTTGACATTTTCACTAATCTGGGGTGACGATTGTAGAAATTGTTGCGCAATTTCACCTTTTTTTTGCTGAAAATGTTTTATTAAGCTCCTTCTCCTTCAGCGTGTGTCGTATCAATATCAGTTTTCTGAATGTATCCTTGTTTATTTTAATGGACGACGGTGAATTCGAAAAGATCTCCAATCGACTGCGGAGTTGTTTCTATGGTGTTCTCTTAGACAACATACATTCGCAAAATCTCCCCAACATCAAGACATGCGCAATGACTAAACAGACAAGAAAGTTCGTGATCCTTCATCAATCTCAAAATCGAAGACTAGTACTGTATTTCTCGCTAAAAAACTCCCCTATCAGCGAAAGTGGGGTGGAGTGGAAAGGGGGCCATTTACATACACACCATTCTGTCATCCTAACTCAAAAAGAAAGGCAGATGAAGAAGGAATCTTCAGACACCCGTGCCTGATATGATTACTACAACAATTGAACTTAAATTATGTTCAAGAATGTTTTGATCCAAGTCCTTTTTAGAAGAGTAACAAGGATAACACATTCGATTTTAAGAAGCCTTTTTTAACAGACTGAAGATATCTTTTCAAAGAATCTACACAATAAGTACAACAGTGGGTTTGTCAAAATTTGAACCACGCAAGACAACAAACAAAAATTGCCCATGCACAACCAGCCTTCAACTCGTAAACAGGAACACGAAAGTAAAACCAGTGTGTTACGTATTGTGACCCTAACAAATAATAATAATCCAATGACATCGCGTGGTTTTTGAAGGCGTAGACAACCGCAAACGTCACATTTGTGCGTTGATCCCTTCTTCGGTCCTTAAAAAAATATTTTACGAAATTCTCAAATCGGCAGGAGTGGGTTGTAGAGAGAAGGGAAGGGGGGTTAACTTGCACACCATTCCACATTCCCTCACTGAATACAAAGCAGACAAAAGACAACATCAAGAAAATGCTAAATTTGGCGATTTTCTTACTGTAGTCGTGTCTGGTGTGATATTTTAAGTAATTGGAGTAAGCTCTTGTACAGAGGTCAAACATATTCCCGTGTCTTCTTCTAGAATGTTCTGATAAAATTTTTTTTTCGAACCGCATTGAGACAGTTCTTGGAGCAAACAAGGAAAATGTTCTAAATTGAGAGTCTTTCACCAGAGGTAAAACTTTTGAACGAACACAATTCAGTCTAAAGTTCACAATTTTCAACAATAAAACAAACCTTACACTTTCTTCATCAAAATGCTCCGCAAGCTAAGAGCGTGTAACTTTACAAAATTAGGGGAAAATGTTTGTGGACTGAACGGTGAATTCGAAATATTGGATCTCTAATCGACTGCGGAGTTGTTTTTGTCTGTTTGTTTCTCTCAGACAATCGACGTACGTACATCGGAGGTGAAAACAAAGCGCAATATAAACGATTATACTTTAGCTGATATTGTATTTAACGACGATGGATAACCACAGTTTCTTCATACGAGATAAGATTTACCATTCAGCAAATCAAGAATCGTATTAATTCCGTCTAATTAAGAGAAACCATAGTTCTGAAAATGAATGAAGGACAAATTCCTAATTTGTTGTATTGAAAACGAAATCGACTTAGCATTTGATAAATGATTAAAATGAAGCAGGGTTAAACTCGTTCATAGAGCCGTTAAGCTTTGCAGTTTGAGTCTACGAGCAAGAATATTAAACAACACCCTTAATGGTCTTGCACCGAGCTTTGGTCTCGTTGTAAACAAACGCTATTTGGAATTTTCTTCTCGAATCTTGATTACAAATGATCTATACTTACTTCGTTGAGGATTTCAGGAACTATCGCGGGAACAAGTCGACGTTTCAGCCAACAAAATGACAAAGTACTGCTTGGAAGCAACCACGCTCAAAAGTGAAACCAACTTGCAGAGCGCAGCATGTCTGATGACATTTCGCGTGTTGACTTTCACAACTAAACGTCAGCAGCAGACAGATTTGCGCCTGATCTCATTAGAAAAGAATCCAGGTCATTCAAACAGCTGATGACTAAATTGTAGGTAGGGGTAGGGTTAGGAGGAGGGGATAATTAAGGAAGTTTTGTCGTTTCGGGCTTAATTTCTGGGTTAGCGGCGATACTAAAGAAAGAGTCATTTTTATAGCCTGGGGGGCTGGAGGAAATGTTTTTTTAAGGGAGAGGATGGGATCACATAGTTTTCAGGAGGAAAGGAGGGGGAGTTAGTCGTCTCAAACAGAGTTAAGGACTTTGGTAGAGCTGAAACGACAACTAGCATTGTATATGGTCCATTCTATATTGAAAAAAATAATTACGCTGGAAAAACATAGTTTTCATCAGAATAAGAAGTATACTCTCATTTAAGTCAACTGAAAACGTCAAGTTCTGCCTTTACAGGTAATTATGAAGCAATTCAAACAAAAACTTATCATCGCTATATCTAATATAAATTTCAAAAGCTTTTCAATACAAAGGAAATAAATTTTTGGTTGGTACTTTTCAGAGGATTGGAGAGGAAACTTTTTTCCATAATGTCTGTTACCTTGAAAGTATGTAGAAAACTTTGCATATTTGAAACCCATTCATTCAGATTTAATAAAAATATTATTTTATAAGACGTAAAGAAATTCATTCACTCTTTAGTATAATGATGATCTGTATGAAAACAACATAAAGTTGAAAATTCACCATGTTAAGTGTTTATTGAATGTTCTGGAGCCTTGATTCAAGGCTAGTAGCCTTCACAAAATTGGAAAATTTCTTTCTGTCATGAAATATTTGCTGATTAAATTTCAAGTAATTGCTGGATTTTTGCCACCATTTCCAGCCAATCTACAATGGTAATAGGACTGAGTGGAGTCTTATTCGGTCTGTTGTTATCATACACGTGATTAACAAAATTGGACGACTGCAAAGCAAGAGACCAATTTGTCAATCACGAGTATGATTACAGAAAGAAGTGGACGACAAAAAGTCCTGTTACCATTTAATCTTAATTGTTATTATTTCTGAAAACAAGAAATACATTTAGGTCAAATATCTCTGGTATAGACAATGTCTACAGTAAAAAAATATGTCTCCATTTTGGAAATTCTTAATTTTTTTTTTGAGACAAGTGGTTGTTGCTATGGTTATCGTGATTAACTCTGTGATTGGTGGATTTGGCTGAGTGAACTTAGTATGATTCGTTGCTTCAACTGTCCAATTACAGGTATCCGATTAAAGCCAACTGTCCAATTATGCTGTCCAATTAAAGCTGTACAGAATGAGAAGTGAAAAAATGAAGCAGCTAATGCACCAATCACATTTGAAGAAATTGCAATGGTTATGATTAGTGCCTGAATAGCCTGTTCCAGGCATTCAGTCGGCAAAACAAAGTGTAATAGTAAATAGCACTATAGTAGTAGAGATGTGAAAAAGCGAGGGAGGCTTGGGTTGAGTCACTCAATGAATCCCACCTAACCCAAGCCTCTCTTGCTGTTTCACTTTTACGCTCCAGTCTCTGCTCCGTTTTACTAACTGAACACCTGGAGTGAGCCAATGCCTGAAACGACCTTGCATCGTTTTAAAAATTATTTTTGTATTATCCGTGTCAAATCAACATAATCTAATTTCATAAAGAAAATTAGAAATAAATTTTGGCCTCCCAAATTTACGGTGCCGTCTATTTTCTCTGTGCTCATTGATTAAGGAGATTTTTTCATGTCATTCAATAGTTTGGCCAAAATGGCGTAGGTATCTCTTCCATTCTTTAACCGCGATTCAGCATACTGGATAAGACTGGCTTGCAGGCTCAACACCCTTTGCCTATTGTAACGGATCATCTATATTTAAATTAAAAAAGAACAAAAATTAAAATCAATCGAGTAAGCAGATTGTCTACTGCAGTTGGAGCGAAATGACAATTTCTATTATGTACCCTTAACAAATATTTTAATCATCTGCCATTTCTCCGCTGTTTATTACGCCGGCACAAAGGATTCAAGGTAAACCAAGGAAAATGGTTGAAAATCAAATTGTTGATGAGCGATTTTGTCACTTTGGATTCTCAGAGGTTAATGGTACTTGCTCATCACTTTCAAGTTAGCCAATCAGTGTGTACAAAAAATACTTTTTTATATCATTTTATTCACCTCTTTCTTTGCAGCTTCTGAAATTGAATTGTATGCTTCCTCTGCATCGTCTTTGGCTTTTTGAAGCTGAAAATAAAAAAATGTATAAAACAATTTAGGATTCTTCAATTCTGGTGTTCACCATAATTATTCAGAAGCTCAACTTGAACTTCGAGTCTATTGCTAAGTGCAGCCTCATGTGAATCACGAGAAAAAAACATGTGAATCACGAGAAAAAAAAAAACAAAAAAAAAAACAACACTCAATCACATGTAAAAAATCAGAGAGAGGTGCAAAGCACATGTTTGTCAGAACCTTACCATTTCTTGGTTCTTGGGTTTGGCTTTTTCCAGTGCTTTTGTTGCGTTCTCATACTCAACTAGTTTACATGTACGACGGAAAAGCATCTCCTGCAGGGTAAGAGATGGACAAAACAAGTGCAGTAAACAGTTAAAATAATCATCTTGAGACAGCAAGAAGAAATAACCAATTAAAAAAAGGGGTTTTCAAAGTTAGGGCACTGGAATTGTAATCCAGAAGTCCCACATTCCATCTCATCTGTACTTGATGGTTCCAAATTCAATTATACCATGAAGCATTGTAAATGAAAAAAAACTCCCCAAGTCAGTTCATGTTTCCGTTCCACCATTCCAGTCTTTGTTTGCAAGTTTTCCATCCCTCTTGCTTAGCAGTATGAAAATGAAATGTAAATTACTCCAAAGGGCGCTTTCTCTACAGATAACCTCTCTCTTGTGCTACATTCATGTAAATGTACTAATACTCACCAATGAATTGAAAAAAATTGAATGCAATAGAGATAGAGCAGGTAGAACCCAGTGCTCTCATTCAAGACACAACCCACAAAGCATTTGGGATATGAGAAATAGATTGGTCAACAGTCTGGCTCATGAATTTTTGTTGTTGTTTGGTTATTTTTGGTTTTTCTCTTCTTTCTTTTTTAGATGTGCAGTGATCCTGAGCTTTTCTCAGGCTGTGACAATGCTCTCATCCAACCCCACCCCAAAAGAAAATAGTCACCTCCTTTCCCCTTCCTTAACCCTGCCCACAAAAGGAAAGTTGGTATCCTTTGAAGAGTTCAATAAGATCCAAGTTTTCCAATACATATTTCACATACCTTGGCAGCATCCATGTATCTGGAATAAAGTTCTAAAGTAAAACCTAATGTGTTGTCATCATTAGTGGACATAACATCCAGCGATTCCTAAGGAAAGGAGAACACACACACACACAAGTAAGACAAAACAAATTAAACTCTTGGAATTGAAAATACTGCTAGCAACACTAGTTCCTGTCTAAAAATACTACCATACCTTGACACCATTTAGTGCGCTTGAAAAAGTCACAAATTTCCTGTAAAAGTAAAGATACATTTTAAAATTAGCTTTTTATTAAACACTGACATACTGTTATTGGTACAAATTCTATCATACTGACAAGGAGAAGTTGTTCAACAATCAAGAGCTTCTTTGTTTTTTTCTATCATTTCCTTTATTCTCATGACCTTAATGTACTATATATGCAGCAGTGATATGGTGAGGAGAATTTAGATGCTGATCACTTCAACAAGAGAGGAAGACATAACTATCATGCTAAGGTCTTGATAGGTCTTGATTGCCTCTTATTACCAGTTCTCATGATGGTTACAGCAAGTAGAGCTAGCATGTAAGATGTGGTAAAACAGTGGTTGTTCACATGCAAAAAAAAATCCGCCAAACTATGCCTGGCCCATCATTGCTTGCATTGGAAGTTTGCCACCACAGTTACATGATGGAAAGATATGACATAAATATTAAGTAATTATTACAAAATCATATCATTTAGCAATTTCAGACATAGAACAACAAACCCTTTCAATTCCTTGGTACTATTATCATCACCAGCCGATGCTTTCATGATGCCAGAGCTAAAATCATTCACTGCTAATGCAACACCTGAAATTCACAAAGAAATTCAAAATTACCAAACTTACATATGTATTAATATGCCATCATGGTGAGTTTGTCATAATCATACAGTATCATTTATTATAAAAATCAATCACATATTTTGTAACATCCTGATATATTACAATACTGTATGACTGAATAATAATTCAAATATGCCTTTGCCACCTTCATGTTGTTTTTATATGGATGTTCTTTAGATATCAATGTTTTTAGCCATACTTTCTGTTAAAATTCACAAGACTGGACCATTCACCAAAATCATGAGATTTGAAGTTGTAATTCACTATTCCAGCCTAAACAACCTTGATGCAGATTACACATTCCAGCAAATAAAACATTGCTACATACGTTGCTGACTGTGTACCATTTTGGTGAAGTTCTACCAAAAAACACAGTAGAAAAACATTTATTTATTTAATCTCAAAATTGTCAACTCTTACTTAGAAGCTAAAACCAAATCTGACTTTCCTCTAAAACCTTGTTCTCATCATAGGTGCTGTTTGGTGCAAAACCAATTCACAGAATCATAACTTAATTATTTATGTTATTATTGACTATTAGACATTCTGGCTTTTCAACCACAGTTTCCAGCAGAGTTGGCATTTTGGAATTCCAGGTCTTTTTTTCCCTCATAAAAGACCCAGGTGGAAATCTTATTAAGATCTTGGAAGATCTTGTAAGATCTTGGAAGATCTTGTAAGAATCTTATAAGATGGCAATTAAGATGAAGATCTTACTAAGATCTTATTAAGAATTAATAATCTTAATAAGATCTTGCCAAATTTCTTGAACAAATCTTAACCAGGTTTGAGCATTGTAAGATCTTAAAAGACCTTATTAAGTTTATACAAGAATCTTGTAAGAATCTTGACAAAATTTTACAACACATGGGGATTAAGATCTTGGAAGGTTCTTAACAAGATCTTATTAAGTTTATTTAAGAATCTTGTAAGAATCCTCACAAAATTTTACAAGAAATGGGGGTTAAGATCTTGAAAGGTTCTCAACAAGATCTTATTAAGTTTATACAAGAATCTTGTAAGAATCTTGACAAAATTTTACAACACATGGGGATTAAGATCTTGGAAGGTTCTTAACAAGATCTTATTAAGTTTATTTAAGAATCTTGTAAGAATCCTCACAAAATTTTACAAGAAATGGGGGTTAAGATCTTGAAAGGTTCTCAACAAGATCTTATTAAGTTTATTTAAGAATCTTTTAAGAATCCTAAAAAAAATTTTACAACACATGGGCATTAAGATCTTCAAAGTTCTTAACAACATCATATAAAGTTCACTTAAGAATCTCAGTTGTAAGAATCCTAATCTTTAAGAAAAGGAAGAACTTACAAGCTTCTTGACAAGATCTTGGTAAGTTTGTTAAGAATCTTAATAATTAAGTAAGATTTGTAAATGTAACATCATAAAGATTCTAGACAGGATTTCATCTAAAGTTCATCTAAGAGTTTTGTAAGAATCAAAATTTTAAGATCAGTAGGAATTTAAATGTTCTTGACAAGATTTTATCAAGTTCATTCCAGTACATTCTTGAGTAACTTGAAATGCTTATCCTGTTCTGTTCATAAGAGAGCATGGGGATGCATAAGGCTTGAAACCTCTCACACATGATGTGAAAAATCCCATGTCCAAAAGGGGATCAAATAACATCAAGTAAGCTTCTATGGTATGGTGTGCAAATTTCAGACCCGAGAACACAATACTCATGCAGCTGCTTTCTAACGAGGTAATTGTTCCACTGGAATTATGGTATCAACAGATTAAATTTGGACAGACTTTTCAGATTACATTTGATGATTGATTATGAAATATACTGAACAGCTAGTTTAAATAATCACTAATCATGTTCATAGGGAGTGTCTAGAAAGGGATTAAACCTTCCCATCTTTGCCTTGAACATAAAGACACCCATAGATAATGTCACCACATTCCACAAGCAAGAGACTTTCGCTGATATGGTTCAGAAAAAAAAATATGGCAGTATGCAGACAGATGGTGGAATGAAAAGATGTATTTAAAAAAATTCATAGCTAGCTACTTGTAAAAATACTTTTCAAGAAAGTTGCACGAAATTTGTACTTTCACCAAGGCATTCCACGCCACAGCACATACGCAGAATTGCAAATTGTACACTTGATCGTTGTTGTTAACCGTTTTTGCATCATATCGTTTCGGACAAAGTTCGACAGAAATTCTACTTTGGTCGAGTGTTATCTGCCTGGTTGCGAAATTTAACTGTGCCTTACAGCCCTAAAGAAGAAGAATGATTTTGAGAATTAGGATTTTACCAACCAAATTCTTTACAAAATAACTAACAAATAAACATCGAAAATTTGCAGACCGGTCAGATGGCAGAAATTAAAAGTATTTTTAAAAAGTTTATAGGTAGTTACTTACAAAATACTTGCGAGAGTTGCGTGACATTTTGTACTTTCACTAAGGCTCTGCCCAGTCTCCCGCTACGGCCGGCGCAAAATTACAAATTGTTCACTCGACCGTTGTTGTCAACCGTTCACGCGCCATTTCGTTTCGGCAAAGTTCTACAGAAATTTTACTTTGGTTGAGTGTTATCTACCTCGTTGCGAAATTTGATTGTGTCTAAAGCCCTGGCGAAGAATAATGATCTCGAGAATTAGGATTTTACAAGCCAAGTTCTTTGCAAAATCACTAATGTTACTGTCGCTTAAAATACAGAAAATGAAGCAGTCGGTAAGTAACATGAGTTTACAGCACACCAGAGAAGATAAATCGCGTTTTGCTTTTCTTGTGAAAGAACACTACGATTACACATTCAAGGTTGCGATATCCTTGTTTTATTCTGTCACGTGAAGTGGCCTCAGGTGAATAGTTTACACATCTAAGCACATAGAAAGCACACGTATGATTGTGCGCGACACTCGCTTCATAACTCAAGGAACACATTGGTCTTGGTAGTTTAAGTATCTTGAGAAGATTTCCAAAAAAGCAACTAGTGCACGACTGCAACTGAAGCAAATGAAGGCAAATCATCCCGAAGGTAAGTGCTACTGACTTTTATTCATTAAGTTCACGTTATCAACATTACACATCTGGAAGGTGATGCGATAGACTTATTTCTCGCACTTTTTAGATTCTTTTAGCATGGACGAAAAAGTGACGATAAGTTTATGTAATTGCAAGGCCACGGTATTTTTATATAAGGCAAATCATAAAATCTCGTTAGGGTTCGATTTCGTCAGGAAGCGTTTTTGTTTAGAATTGAGTGTAAACTGACACGAGATGTAACGCTATCATCATCAAAACCCCGTAACGGCGGCTGCTAACCTTACTGCACTTGTAGCAATTCTCTCAAGTCAGTTTTAAAAGAGAGATTGTTCCGGATTTAAGTGTTGTAGGCAGAATCATCGTAGCTTCCAGTCGTCTCGCATGGAAATGGTTCACAATAAACAATTAATTTGTCTTCGGCTTTACTAATAACCACTAGAAGTTAAACTAGAAGGGTGCAATAACAACGCGAAATCGATTATGGAATTACTTTATTCCCAAATAATGAATTATAAATTGCCACGTTCTACTTAAAAGTTTCCACTGATGATGATGATGATGAAAGCCAAACTGGGTTTGATTATCACGACCATGTCCACAGTGATGGGAATCTTCCCAAAGCAAACAAAATTACCAAAAATGGGAAGTTCTTCTGATGATGTAAGAACTCTAAATATTCAATGTTGGTGCATGATAGTTCATTTCCCCCCCTCCTTCAAGACTTCATTGACTTAAATGGCTTAAGGCAGAATTTTGGCACTGTTATCCTGTTAATTTTTACTCTAACACATTCTATACCTGTATTAATTCCATGCAACATTTTTTGTATTTTGTTTGGTTCTGTTTAGTTTTTATTTGTTTTGTTTTGTGAATGTGTGTGTATTTTTTTCTGGTTTTCATTTAATGCTGAGTTATGATTCCTTGCTTCCCTTTCTCACAATTTTCTTTGTTCTAAAGGTTAATGAAACTTAATTCAGTGGAGGGATTGCTCAACAAATGTAAACATTTTTTCAATTCATATTCACAGGAGAACTGGAGAGATAGGATCACCTGTAAAAATGATTTTATCCTGAATAAAGTAGACTCTGAGTCCCATCTTGATGCTACAAGCACAGAATGGGATAGAAGGGTGGCAACTCCTGATTGTAAAAAGGTAATTTTTCATTTATCAACTTTTTGTGGGAATTTGGAATAGCTGTTTCAGCAGTGCAAAGCATAAACAAAGTTTGTTGGATTGGAGTTGGGCAGTGCAAATTGCCAAGATTCATAACTGGGAACCTGTGCATAAAAATTTTGCTCTTCAAGATGATAAATTCTTGTTAAAGATAGTCACTACCTCCTTTTCTTTGCGTACAGATGAGGCATGATGGTGATCAAGGAGAACTATTGAGAAGCTCCTCCCCTCTACCTAAGTAAGTACTCCTCACAATGAAACCAAGCTCCTATTACTCCTCTCTGGCAGGGATTTTAAAAAATACGTTCTCAAGGTTTTAGTATATTTTGTACCTGTATAAAAATTACTATTTTCTTTTTTTCTTCCCACAGGAGCCATAAAACAGAAATTTGGTGATACCCAAATGAATAAGAGGTGGTCTCAAATAAGGCTCTACTTGAATAAAAAAAATTGCTTGGATTCCAAGAGAAAAGTTCACAATGTAGAGGGCAATGTTGAATGAACTAAGGCTTGGTTGATATTTGTACAAAATTTGCAAATTTGCTTGTCAAGTAGCTGTCAAATTGACTAAAATGCCAACTGAGATGAGTGATAGTGAGCTTTAATTCTTTGAACACGTTTGCTGCAATACAAAATTTTGTTGTTTTTTTTTGTTTTCATGCTTAAATTATTCTAAAAGAAGAAAAACCATTGCAGTTGAATCAAACGAAGAACAATTTAAAACTGGGACATGCCTTTAGTTATTATGGCTTTTTTGTGCAAGGATAACTATGGTAGTTCAAATCAAACTGTCAAATGACTCCAACAATTAAAACAATTGTTTTTTTAAATTTTTAAAACACACCAAAGGGAAGAACAAGAACTCTTCTTGTACAGTTGTCATTTAAATCGTGCATGTTTACCAGTTAACGTTTCTTATCAAGATCTTTTTTGGTAATTAATTTCAGTGTTGAGAATTTGCAATAAATTTTGCTTAATGTTGGATGAAGAAATTCTTTCTTAGTTGTGATCTCCATTCCTCAATCATCCAGTTACTGCATATTGCATAAACCATCAGTTACCTACTATGGTCTGAAAAAAATATGATACTTAAGAATTTTTACAGATTCTGCAAAAATTCTTGTAAGTTGTTTGAAAATCTCACAAGTTCTT